TTAAACAGTGAAAAGACAACCTACAGGTTGAGAGAAAATTTTCAGAAACCATGTATCTGGTAAGTGTCTAATATTCAAAATATATACAAAACTTTGACAACTTAACAACCCAATCAAAAAAATGGGCAAAGGGCTTAAAAGGATATTTCACCAAAGAGGATATTCAAATGGATAACAATACATGAAAAGATGCTCAATGTCATTAGCCATTACAGAGATGCAAATCAAAACTACACGATATCACCTCACTCCTGTTAGAATTAGAATTGCAATTAAAAAAGAAAAGAGAAACAATAGGTTTTAGCGAGGTTGTTGAGAAACTGGAACCCTCATCCATTGCTGGTAGGAATGTCAAATGGTACAGCCACTGTGGAAAACAGTTTCGCAGCTCCTCAAAAAGCTAAACAAAGAACTACTTTATGAGCCAGCAATCCCAATCTTAGGTATATACCCAGAAGTGAAACAAGGAACACAAACAGAAACCTGTACACCAATGCTCTTTGCAGCACTTTTCACAATAGCCAAGAGGTGGAAACAACCTACATATATCAATCAACGGATGAATGGATAAACTTACAAAATGTGGTATATACAGGCAGTCTCTGGGTTACTAACAAGATCCATTCCTAAGTCTGTCTTTAAATCGAATTTGTAAGTAAGTCAGAACAGGTACATATGGTTCTTATTTGGCATTAGTTAGTCAAATGTTTGTCTTAGAATGTAGTATGTATTTTACATTTTTATGCATATATCATTAGTAACACGCCAGTAGAATTTTGCTGAAGATAATTCAAAAATGGCTGCAGCAGTACATCAACAGGGAACTGCCAGAAATTCAAGCCAGATTTAGAAGAAGATGTAGAACCAGAGGCATCATTGCTGATGGCAGATGGATCCTGCCTGAAAGCAGAGAATACCAAAAAGATGTTTACCTGTGTTTTACTGCCTATGCAAAGGCATTTGACTGTGTGGATCATAACAAATTCTTGGTAACACTGTGAAAAATGGGAATTCTAGAACACTTGGGCTTATACAGCACCTGTACATAGAACAAGAGGCAGTAGTTCAAAGAGAACAAGGGGGATACTGTGTGGTTTAAAATCAGGAAAGGTGTGTGTCAGGGTTGTATCTTTTCACCATACTTATTCAATCTGTATGCTCAGCAAATAATCCGAGAAGCTGGACTATATAAAGAAGAAAGTGGCATCAGGATTGGAGGAAGACTCATTAACAACCTGCAGTATGCAGAAGACCCAACCTTGCTTGCTGAAAGTGTAGGAGACTTGAAGCGCTTACTGATGAAGATCAAAAACTACAGCCTTCAGTATGGATTACACCTCAACGTAAAGTAAATAAAAATCCTAACAACTGGACTAACAAGCAACATCATGATAAACAGAGAAAAGACTGAAGTTGTCAAGGATTTCATTTTACTTGGATCCACAATCAGCACCCATGGAAGCAGCAGCCAAGAAATCAAACGACCTATTGCATTGGGCAAATCTGCTGCAAAAGACCTCTTTAAAGTGTTAAAAAGCAAAGATGTCACCTTGACCAGTAAGCTGTGCCTGACCCAAGCCATGGTGTTTTCAACCACCTCATATGTATGCAAAAGCTGGACAATGAATAAGACCGAAGAATTGATGCATTTGAATTGCGGTGTTGGTGAAGAATACTCAATATACTGTGGACTGTCAGCCACAATGCTCCTTAGAAGCCAGGATGATGAGACTTCGTCTCACATACTCTGGACATGTTATCAGGAGGGACCAGTCCCTGAAGAAGCACGTCACGCTTGGTGAAGTAGAGGGTCAGCAAAAAAAAGAGGAAGACCCCTCAACAAGATGGACTGACACAGTGGCTACAACAATGGGCTCAAACATAGCAACAAGCTTTTGTTCAGCTCTTGGGGGAAAAAGTCTGCTTGGTGGCTAGCTATACTAAACAGGTAAAAAAAATGCTTACTTCTTTATGCAAGCAGTCTCTCGCTCACTGTGTATGTGCTTCTTTTAATTTAAAAATGGTTACAACTAACTAAAAATGCAGCAATATCCTGTATGTGTTGCAGCATAATTTGTTTTATTCAAGGAATTTTTTTTTTTTTAGTTTAACAACAACATGCATATAAAACACTTACGAAACACTTCCAAACCAGCAATATCATTATGAGTGTCACAAAGTAGTGCGTGCGTTCATTATTATGAACCCATGTATGTGTTCGATTCAAATTTTTAATATAACAGGCTCTATGGCAGTCCGCTCCTAAGTATGACTTGTCTATAAGTCGGACCTTCATAAACTGGGGCCTGCCTGTACTGTACACACAATAGAATACTACTCAGCCATAAAGAGAAATGAAGTCCTTGATGCATGCTACACAATGGGGATGAACCTTGAAAACATGATGCTGAGCAAAATAAGCCAGCTGCAAAAGGACAATATTGTATGATGTCACTTATATGAAATAAGCAAATACATAGAAAACAGAGATTATTAGTGGTTAAGTGGTTACCACGGGTGGGAGGGAAGGAGAAAGGGGGAGTTTTTGCTTACGGGGTATTGAGCTTATGTTAATAGTGGTGGAAGGATTTGGAAAAGGATAGCAGAATGGTTGCACGTCTTGAAGAATGTAATCGATGTCACTGAATTGTACACGTAAAAACTGTTGAGATGGCATGTTTATGTACATTTTCAACACAAGAAAAAAAATTAAAAAGAATTCCTTGAATAAAACAAATTATGCTGCAACACATATATGATTACTGCTGCATTTTTCCTTAGTTTTAACCATTTTAAATTAAAAGAAGTATATATATGGTGAGAGAGAGACTACTTGCATAAAGAAATAAGCATTTTTTGACCTTATGAGTATAACTACCCACCAAGCAGACTCCCCCCGCCCCCCGCAAGACCTGAACAAAATCTTTCAAATAAGAACATATGGTAGATATTGCATCTACATTCTGGACAGGAAAAAACTGGAATCAACACTTTCCATCTTTATTTTACATGGCTTGCTGCTTTGGGCTGCTTCGAATTACAATAGCAACAAAATGAAAATCTCTAGCAATCCCAAGTATAACAAAAAAGATGATGATATGGAAATACATGCAATGGAAAAGCTAAATAATCAAAATTATTCCAATGTATCTATTGTAGGATATGAAGATTTTTCATAAATTATATCTAGAGAAAAACTCACTGTGACTTCCCAAAAAGGCAAAAACAAAACAAAAAGCCCTACCAAGACCATAAAAATCTCTTTTAAGAAACTAACCATTCTGTAAAACAAATTCTAGTTAGTTGCAAGTGATTGCTATTTTTAGTTAAAAGAAGGCACAATTAAATTTAATATTTAAATTTTTTAAAAAAATTAAAGAAGCTCTAAATAAATGCAAAGACAGTCCACATTCATGGATTGGAAGGCTTAATATTGTTAAACTGTCAATACTTCACAAAGCAATCTACAGATTCAATGGAATCCCCATCAATATTCCAACAGCCTTCTTTGCAGAAACAGAAAAGTCAATCCTCAAATTTATATAGAACAGCAATGGACCCAAAATAGCCAAAGTAATTTTGAAGAGGATAAAGTAGGAGAATTCATACTTCCTAATTCCAAAATGTACTACAGAACTACAGTAATCAAAACAGTCTGGTACTGATATAATGATAGACATATAGACTGGTGTAATAAAATTGAACATCCAGAAATAAACCCATACATCTATGGTCAATTGATTTGACAAGGGTACTAAGTCCATTCAATGGAGAAAGAAGAGTCTATTTAATAAATGGTGCTGGGAAAACTGGATTTTCACATGTAAAAGAATAGGGCTGGATCCATATACCTCAAAAGATATACAAAAACAAATTCAAAATGGATCAAGGGCTTAAATGTGAAAATTAAAACAATAAAATTCTTAGAAAAAATTACAGGGGTATGGCTTTAGACTCTAGTTTTAAACAAATTCTTAGATATGACATCAAAAGCACTAGCAGCAAAAGGCAAAAGAGATAAATGAGAGTTCATAAAAATTAAAAACTTCTGTACATCAAAGGACCGTATCAACAAAGTAAGAGACAATCTACAGAATGGGAGAGAATGTTTGGCAACGATATATGGGTTTAACAGCGAGAATATATAAAGAATTCCTACAATATAACAAGATGACATATAACTCAATTTAAATATGGCAAAACACTTGAAAAGACATTTCACTCAAGAGGATACACAAATGGCCAACAAGCATATGAAAAACTGCTCAATGTCATTAGTCATTAAAACTGAAAAACCCGTTGCCATGGAGTCAGCTACAACTCATAGCTACCCTATACGACAGAGCAGAACTACCCCACAGGGTTTCCAAGGCTGCAATCTTTACTGAAGGATCCCAGGCTGCAAACCAAAAGGTCAGTGGTTCTAACCCCACCACCCAGTTTGTGGAAGAAAGATGTGGCAGTCTGCTTCCACAAAGATTACAGCCTTGGAAACCCTATGGGGCAATTGTACTCTGTACTACAGGGTCACTATGATTGGAATTGACTCGACGGTAGTAGGTTTGGTTTAACCTTTACAAAAGCAGGCTGCCGTTTATCTTTCTTCCCAAAGTGGCTTTTGGGTTCGAACAGCTGACCTTTTCAGTTAGCAACCCAGCACTTACCCACTGTGCCACCAGGTCTCCTTCATTAGTTATTAGGGAAATGCAAATCAAAACCATAATGAGATATCACACTCACTAAGATGGTTATTATCAGAAAAACAGAAAACAACAAATGTTGGTGAGGATGTGGAAAAACTGGAACCCTCATCCACTGCTGCTAAGATTGTAAAATGGCATAGCTGCTGCGGAAAATAGTTTGGTGCTTCCTCAAAAAGTTAAACATAGAATTACTATATAATCCAGCAATTCCACTTCTAGGTATATATCCATAAGACTTCATGGCAGGGACTCAAATAGATACTTCTACACTAATGTTCATTGCAGCACTATTCACAATAGTCAAAAGGTGGAAACAATCTAAACGTCCATTAACGAATGGATAAACAAAATATGGTATATGCACACAATGGAATATTACTCAGCCATAAAGAGAAATGAAGCCCTGACACATGGATGAAACTTCAAAACACTACGCTGAGTGCAGTAAGGCAGTCACAAAAGGACAAACACCGTATGACCCCACTTATACGAAATAGGAAAATATATAGATATCATAGTTTATTAGTGGTTACATGGGGTGGGAAAAGGGGGGAAGGAGAGCACTAGTTTAGGGAACACTGAGTTTCTGTTACGGTGGTGAAAAAATTTGAGAAAAGGGAAGTGATAATGGTTGCATAACCTGATGAATGTAATCACTGAATTTTACATGTAAAAAGTGTTGAAATGCCAAGTGTTTTGTTTTATATATTTTTACCACAATTAAAACAAAATGAATTGTCTCAAATACTAACTGTGGCAGAGTAGCTTAAGATTCCAATTGTTTTTGTTTACTTCTTTCGCTTAACTGTATTTTCTGACTTTAATATTGAGTTCTTTTAATGTCTTAAGAAATAAGTAACTTGGTACTTGTATACCCAGAAGTTGGCATACCGCAATTAGTAATGGGAAAATAAAGTACCAGATAAAAGCAGAAATGTTTCCTGCATTTTATACATAATTTAATCGCTTTGCTGGCTTCTTCTCAATTTTATTTATGCCACACCTTCAATTTATGACTCAGTAACCATATCCTGTACCTTAATTTGATCCATTCAACAAACATAGAAAGCAAATTCCAAAATTATGGATTAGAAAAAATTTAAATTGACTCTTCTAAAGGAAGTTTATTAATTGTGGGGAAAAAATTGAGAGGATACTTGAAATATTGGTTCATTTCTTTTTTCATGTAACCTTAGAAATATCGGTGTATTAAAATTACTAGTTTTAAAGAAGGGGTTTAAAACGGAAAAAAGGAAATTCCTTTCAATTCATAATCACATAAAAATGCCTTTTATTCATTCATTCAGTAAATAATTACTCAATAGCTAACAGTATCAGGTTATACTTATACTGAACCAATTTAAATTATTGTTTTCATCCAGGCAAAAGTTAACTGTAAATCTCAATAGTTTAATATACAGGCAGTCGCTGGGTTACCAACGTCTGACTTTCTGATTTAGGGACAACTCGTACTTGCCCTTTAATGTTATGTAAATTTGGCCTCACTTTGAAAGGACTGAACCCACCCCTACTCCAACCCCTACTGGCAACAAATTCATTACCATAATCACTTTCACTTGCTGCATATGCAGCTTTTAAATCATTGAAAAGGCTTCGAGCAATTCTGACTTAAAGGCACAGTTAGGAACAGATCTCATTTGTAACCTAGGGGCTGCCTGTATTTATATATAATTCCTGAAATATGATTAATTCTCTAAATATGAAGTAATGAAAAACATTATTCTGAATTATCTTTTTTCTAAAAAAACACATTATTATCTCATTCCATTAACGCAAATGATCAAAACTGAGTGTGATTTTTGCTGAGATGAGAAAAGTAGTTTCAATACAACTGAACAAGAGCATGCAGCTGGTTCACTGGTTCTTGAAACCAATCATGAAATCTGAACTTACTTTTTTTTATGCAATCATCACAGACTAAACAAGGGAGGTGACCTTGATAAGACAGTAAGCAGCAAAAGGAAGAAGCCCTATCTAACAACTGCTTCTACTGTCATTCTACTGATTAAAAATTAAGATCCTCTCTAAAAACTTCAAAGGCATTTGTTTTTTGCTCACTCCATCTTTCAATCCCCAGTCCTCCCTCCCTGAAATCTGCCTCTTTCTTATCTCAGAGAATGACACCTACCTACAGAGTAAACCAAGGAATAAACTTCAGTCTTCTTAGAATTACTCTTCTCCTTTACGCTCAAATTGTAGTTACTAAATTCTGTCAATGTTACCTCACTCTATATCCAACTTATTTCCTTAATTTTATTCCAAATGTCAAAGTTCAGATCCTCATGACTTATCTGGCCTACCCATCCATGCCTTCTCCTAACTTGTTTTAAAAATGTTCAAGACTAAGAAAAGCAGAAAAAAAGTACAATGATGACCTGCACACCTTCTGCAGCTTCTTCAGTAGTGACATTTTGCCACATTTGCCCTCTGTCTGTATCTAGAACATATATATACTTTTTTTTTTTGCAGACTGAAAATTGAACACACCAGTATTTCATTGCTAAATACCTCAGCCTGCAATCTCCTGAAAATAAGAACCTTCTCCTACACATCACTTAAGAAAATTAACATTAATTTAATATCTAATATATAGTGCACATTTAAATTTCCTCAACTGTCCCCAAAATATTTTATAGCTTTTTGTCTCCCTATTTAGGCTATAAAGTTCATGTGTCATATTTCTATAGTTATGTGTTTTTAGACCTGGGAAAGACTCGTTGGATTTTTTTTCTTCCCCTGGGTGGTTTTTTAAGGAGTCTAGGCTAGTTACCTTGTAGAATGTCCCCATTCTGGATTTGTCGGATTCTTTCCTCCTGATTAGAGTCAGGTTAAACATTTTTGGCAAGAACATGACATAGGTGATCTCTGCACATCTTACTGCATCACATCTGGAGGAACCCAATGCCAATGATGTCCCAACTACTAGCGATGCTAAGTTTAAGGTAGTGACTCTGCCTGATCTCTCCAATATATAGATACATTTTCCCTCTGTAATTAATAAGTAATCTGTGAAAATGGTATTTTGAGATCTTATGAATATCCTGTTCCTCAACATACCTTTTGTCCAATAGTTTTAACGTCTATTGCCGATTCTTCCCTGAATCAATTATTACATGTCAAGTTGTCACTGCTGTTTTCTTTGCTGTTTTTGTTTTTTACTATCACTTTAGTGCAATTCTGGAGAGAACAATGATAAACACATGTTCTACGAGGCATATTTATCAAATCTTACCTAGACTATTCGAAGTGATAAATGACAAATGAGGTCCTACCCTCTCTCTAGTCGCTTTATGCTGCTGCTTCAGTAATCTATCTAAAACACAAAATCGATGATTTAACCCACATGAGTGTGATTCACTGGCATTCCATTCCCTACAGGAGGAGTAAAATGTCCAGAATTCTCTTTGTAACACACAACCCTTTACGATCTGGTCTCTCTTTACCCTCTTCTATGCTGTCTTCTGCTACTCCACTAAGATTATTCTATTCTCTAGCTTGATGCAAGTCCTTGTAGTTTCCCAATCATGACCAGTTCTCTTATAAATTGCCTTGCATCCTTTTCTGATCAGAAAATTCCAATTAGGCATTTAAAACCGTATCAGGGTAGCATCATCCTCGGTATAGCTCTTCCTTTACTCCCTACCAGGTACTTTCTCCCCTCACTTCTTTCATTTTTACAAACTTTTATTATGTCATTGAATAGTTCATTCTCCACCTGTGCATCTGTCTCTCTCTGTTCTCTCTAAACTCCTTGGACACAAAGATCATAGTTTATTTTCTTTTATGTCCACAAAGCCTTAAATTATCTGATCAGGAATAAACTAGCATGAAAATTAGTTTCTCCTTCTAAGACTTTTCCTAAAACGAGGTTAACTGAAAAAGAGAGAGAGGAGAAAAAAAAAAAAAAAGAAAGCACTTCTATGACTTTTCTCAGTAAGATTCAATAACTGGCAGGGTACAAGCTCTACTATAGAAGAAAAGGCATTAGGCTGGAGTCAGGAGATTCGGGTTCCATTTCCACTTCTACTTTTGTCACTATTAAATTCAATATAAACTTAAACATATCAACTAACATAATAACCCTAGGCCTTCCTTTACTCCAGGGTTGCTACGAGTTGGAATCAACTCAATGGCAATGGGTTTTGTTTTGTTTTGGTTTTTCCTTTCCTTATTGAAAAAAGAAGGGCATTAGATTTGATGATGACAATAATACCAAAACCAAAGATTTTTAGGAAGTACTTTATATGCGTTAAGAGTCTCCAGGTGGCACAAATGGTTAAGCATTTGGCTACAAATCAGGAGGCTGGTGGTTCAAATCCACCCAGAGGTGCCTGGGAAGAACGGCCTAGCGGCGGTCTAATTGCTCCACGGGAGAAAAGACCTGGCGATCAGCTTTCATAAAGACTTCAGCCTAGGAAACCTTACAGGGCAGTTCTACTCTGTCCAATAGGGTTGCTATGAGTGATAAGTGACTCGATGGCATCTAATAACAACACTATTATGAAGACAAGACACAGAGAGGAAAGGTAACTTAAGTTTACTATATTAATAGTAAATAGCAGAGTTGGTATCTGAACTGGGCAATCTGACGTCAAGGCCTATGTTCTTAGATTACCTTCCTAGATGACCTCTAAGGTTCTCTTTTTGAGCTCTAATATTCTCTGAATCTATGACAAGAAGATCTCTAAGGTCACAACAAGCCAAGCAAATCTATGTGCAAACAAGTAATTAAGAGTTAAAAACAAACCTTAAATAATTTTCATTATATTTTTACTTTGTCATGGTTTAAATTGTCATTTTTATTGTACCATTTTAATTTTTGTACTATTAATGACAGATAAAAAATACTGTATTTACAGAGTAAAAAGTAGCTGTCAAAATATATTAACAGAAGCCTAAAATAAGTGTACTGAACTAACTCATGTAAAGAAAACTATTTTCAAAATCGAAAATAACAGAAAATTTAAATGTTAACATTAAAATTCTCAAATTTCTGATAAATAATAGTTGTTTTTACTTGAAAGACAAATTATAGCCAGGTATAATCCCACCTTTCTAAAAAACAGTTTTCATTATTTTACAGTACTTTCTAAATACATAATTTTGACACTGCTATAATCAAGATTTATTTAAATTTTGTCTATGTTTCTCTAAAGTATTCATAATTATCATTTTAAAGCTGCATAATATCCTGGAACATTAATCTGACAACATTCGCATATTGTTGGACATCCAGGTTGTTTCCCTTTTTTCCCCATCTTCAGATGAGACTGCAATGAACATCTTTCTGCATATGTCTTTCATTTTTGTATCTCCAGCTCCTAGCATAGTGTCTGGCTCATATCAGGTAGCTGATAAACACTAGTTGAACTGAATATATTTTCTTTTTAAAAAATGCTTTTAAGGATAATTTCCCAACAGTAAAATTAATGAATCAAGTGTGAACTTCTTTTTGGTTCTCACCACATAATACTTTACAAAAGAATAATGTTCTTTTATGATCTACATGAAATGAATGTGTGTGCTCATTCACTGCAATGCCAGTACTAGATTTTATCATTTAAAAAGTTTACTACTTTACTATACATAAACTGATCTCTTGAAATGTCTTTACCTTGTAGAGAAATAATAATCCTGAAAGTATCATACTGTCACTACTTCCCTTTCATTATTCACCAAAGTACCAAAAACCCCATTGCCACCGGGTCGATTCCGACTCATAGCGACCCGCTAAGGACAGAATAGAACTGCCTCATAGGGTTTCCAAAGCTGTAAATCCTTACGGAAGCAGACTGCCACAGCTTTCTCCCACAGCGTGACTGGTGGGTTTGAAATGCCAACTTTTCAGTTGGCAGCTGAGCACTTTAACCACTGTACCACCAGGGCTCTTTCACCAAAGTACCAAGGCCCGTAAAACTAATAATTCTTATTCTGGAAACTCAATTATCTGTATGTGACCTTATTTTAAAGTTCACATTCAGTTGGAATGTGTCCTTGTCTTCATATTACAGTCAAATTTGGTTGAGGTCATAATCTAAACCAAGTTTGGCAATTTGGCAGTCAGATAAAAACGTAACCTCGTCCCAAAGAGCAATGAATTCTACTCCCCTTTGAAAGGGTTTCTTATGGAACAGATAGAAACGAAAAAGCACTCTCACTAGACAAACAGGTTAAAAGGAATAAACTGATAAAAGTTTTACACTTATGATCTGATCACAACTCTTTGTCAAACCAGAATTACCTATTTATGAAGGAAAAGCTGCACTGGAAAGAAGACATCCTGGCTTCCTAAAACTCACTCCAGAAATTCAGGTAACTTATTGCAGATTAGTATATTTGGCTGACTGTGAAGGTATCTGTTCTTTCCTTCTACACTTTGACAATAACCCATTTTGGATAATTTTTACATTTCCCCCTTAAGACAATTTAAGGAATCAGATTTTTATTTGATTAAGACAAGAGTATCCATTATAAGCTTTTTTATTATTTGTGACTACACTGACATATTTAAAATAGGGCACTCAGTTTTAACCACAACTGGCTGATTTTTCTTGCCTGTCCTTTAATCTTAGCAGGAGCTGTTATGACAGACAGAAAACTTGCTACAGCTCCCAGTAGGGCTCTTTTTTGCCAGCTAGGTTGGAGTTCATGCATCACTTTAAAATAAGTATTTACTCACTGTCTACTATGGGCAAGGCACTGTGCTAGACTCCTAGGAATGATACAAAGATGACTAAGACATGATTCCTGTCCTGAAAGAACTTACAATCTATTAGGGGAAGACAGACATGCAAACAAATAGGTATAATACAAAGCAGAAAGTGCTCGTTGTTAAAACAGAGGTACAAACAAAGTTCTACAGGAACACAGAGGATGATGAGATTAATTCTGGTTGGGGTGATCTGGAAGGCTGGGCCAGTAGAAAAGTAGTAGAAAACTCTGCCCCTTAGCAAATGCAGCAGTGTTACAACCCACCTGGGTTAGGGTCGAAGCCCCACTCCCCACAGAAGGTTTTCCTAAAGGAGATGGAGCCAGGGCCCTAACCCAGTTAGGTAGGTGATTCGGTGATTTCAGTTATGTATGCCAACACCTTCCTTCCTTGATGCAGATAAAATGTGCTTTCACAAACGTTTTACTTAAAAAAAAAAAAACACCAATACATTAAGTAACTCACATAGACAGGTAAGTTACCATGGCCTCCATCATCAGAATGGCCTCAGGTGGTACTCTGATTATACAGGACCAAGCTAATAGACACCACTTCAGCAGGCTAAGCATGTGGTGCTCCAATATATGTTTTGCTACTGATATACTAGGGAGAAAGATGAAGACGTAACTCCAGAGAAGTAACCTGGGTTTTGTATTATTCCATATTTTGTTGAAGTTTTAACAACTTAAAGCTTTAAAAATAAATTTTAAAGTAGGTTAATGAGACAATAGGAATTTTTTTCTTTTGTCTGTCATGATTTCAAGAACCAGCAAGTACACTGGGAGTTTCCACTAATTTCTCAGAGTAAGAAATAGACAAAAATAATATAATCAATATCTAACATTTAGCAGGTACCACACGAGGGGTGAAAAAATTGAAAAGAGGATAAGTACAAACATATGTTTAAGTACACAAGAACATAAAGCAAGTATCATGTGCACAGAATTAGAAACATTAAATCTACAGAAAATTAAAGACAAAGCATTAGTTACCACTGTGTTTCATTCTATTACCTTCTCACATATACGACCCTAAAATCTCTTACAATTTTAAATATTGTATTTTACTCTGCTACAGGAATATAGAAATTCTGAACTGCATTGCTTTTAAACCTCATTTAATGACCAGATAGCAGAATCTGTTTAATGTACTATACGTAAGTCAATGTTCATACAGTGCTTGTGAAACTTAAAATGATTATTGTCTTAAGTATTACAAGTACTCCTATCTCATTTGTTTGTTCTTTTAATTTTTAGAACCTCCTTAAAGAATGGAAGAAAGGAACAAGAACAAGGGAGGGAGGGAAGAAAGGAGAGAGGAAGGGAGGAGCATCCTGTTTGGATTAATGAAGATATCCCATTATATAGACTTTCTTTAAACATAAACATACAATTAAAAAAGACTTGCTATCAAACAATTAGCTGAGCAAAATATGAAACAAATACAGCAAAAGGGTTATAATATCTGTAATAATATAAAGAAAGCTCATAACAACTATAAAACACAAAATCCTAACAAATAATTGAAAAAAGACAAACAATTCACACAAAATACAAGTTGCCAATAAACATGAAAAATATTCATCCTTATTAATTAAAGAAATGCAAATTAAAACAATGAAATAGTATTTTTAAATATCATATTAGCAGAGATAAAATGAAAACATTCAATGCTGCATCTCCTAAAATCTTAAAAATTCACCTTTGTTTGTTTGGATTTTAAAACAAGGTGATCCAAAAATAAGGTATCAGTGCTTGCAAGGGTGTACTGAGATGAAAACACTCATACCCTAGCTTGGAGCAATGGCAGTCAATACAACCTTTAACAATCTGTGGAGAGTATCAAGAGATTTTTTTATTTTTGTTGTTTTTAAGTTCATACCCTTTGACAAGTAATTCTACTACTATGAACCTGAATTTAAAAAATAATCAGAGATGCAGACAAAGATGTACATACAATCACATTTATAATAGTTATTTATAATCACAAAAAAAAGGAAACAACTGAAATGTCAAACATCAGGGAAATGGAGCATTATAAAATCTAATATTATGCAGCAGTTAAAAATTATGTTAAAGCTATTATCTGTGAGAAGAAATGTACAGGATGAAATGTTAAGTAAAAAAGCAGGATCTATAATTTTTATTCCGCTTTAGCTAAAACTGTTTTAAAGAAAGCAGGAAATATATTTTATAAGGAAATATGTCAAAAGAATATTGGCTGTCTCTTGGGGCGGAACTAAAATGATGACTTTCTACTTTGTACCATGCAGTATTTTCCAAACTTTTCATAATATGTACATGTTTTTTTCTATAAGAAAAAAGGTTGAATTTTTAAAAAAGAGTTTGCTGATTGTTTATGTTAAAAGGTTTTTGACAGAAACAGATTTCAAAAATTATGATGAAAATTATTATGAAACAGTATTTTGTAGTATAAATTTCCTCTAAAATCATTAATTTATGAATATAGAGGAAATTTTATCTTGATTTTAACTGTCTCTAAGAAATGGTAAAGGTTTTCTAAAGTTCTTTTTATGCTTGAACTATGATACTGAGGCAAACTTCCTGGTATTACTGAGCTACTGTTAGCTGCTTTTGAAACTTCTCATACAAAATTCACATATATGTCATAATTACAGGTTTTAAACAATTTTTGGGTTACGGTCTGTAAGATCAATAAGCATTCCATTCGTGTTTACAGAATTGTTAATATTAACAATTCAACATACTCACTCAACAATTTTTTAAAAACCTATCACTGAAAAACTATCTTCTATTTTGTTAGAGTATTCAAAGTATCCTATCAAAACTATAGATCATGGATATCATCCTCGCTCTTTCCATATTGTATTTTCTTTTTAAAATGTCACTGATTTAATTCATTTCATTTCCTCCCTCCATGTCTTTCTTTTTAATTGTGTATCTCCCTCAGATTTTTAAAAAAAGGATGATCAAATAAACAGATACATTAAGTGACTACATATACAGAAGAGTTGAAGGGTTGACTAAAAGAGAAAATGTAAATAAATTATAATTATCAGCAAGTGAAAACTATCCTTGTAAGTAGCTAATTACATTTTTTAAAAACCTGAAAGTATCTACCCTGACACATTTGATATACCAAACACCTAAAATAATGTTTCCATGGCTTCAAAAATATTTCTTTCATATTAATGTAAAAATTATTTCATTCAAACATAAATTAGATTGTCTTTTACATGCCAAGCACTCAACCACAAAACAGACATGATGGTTAAAAACAAATGTGGTTCTTTTCCTAAAAGAATTTATGTTCTTGTTCGTTTAGTTAGTGTATTTCTTTTACAAAGCTCTTCAAACCAGCTGAAAATGTATTGGAATCTACTATAGTTTCCTAAATAGAACATTTCTTGATATTAAGCAATTTTACCGGCTATATGAACATAACACTTAACATCTGCTATCACCCAAAATGGTTCACCGAACTTTGACTAAATTTAACACACCAAGAAAAACTATGTGCTATTGAATGCTTTATAAAAAGTACCCTCTACTTTCCATTGACAACATTTCTTTCTAAGCTAAGGTGTTCTATGTTGCATATAAGCCAGTCAACTCTCTCTCAATAGCCTTTAATCCAATTTATAAGTTCTAGACCTAATTGGGTAGAATATACTATTTGTGCACTAGAGATGCTGAAAGACAGTAATAAAGAGACACACAAACTTGTTTTAACAAAATAAAAGCCATATTCTGAAATTTCTGCCAGATACTCCAGAGCCTATCAAGCATATTAATTTAAAACCAGCAAGATAAATCTAAACTGCTATATTCATTTCCTGTACTTTAAAACAAACAATTAAAACTGTTTAATGAAATAAGAAGAGATCTTACCAATGCAGGCCACTGAATTTGCTTGCTCTTTGATCCCTGAGTCTGGCTAGGGTCCTTCCTTTTTGCCCAAATTAAGTGGTATTCCACCAAGAAAGTTGAAAAATCTTCATAAACTTTAACCCACTCTCGTTTATCCCATTCAAGATCATCAAATTCCACATACGCCTATGAAAAAAAAGAAAACATAAAATTCCATAAGCAAAATAGTACAGTGATATTTCAAAATAACTATGAAGTTAAACTGGAAAAGATATTAACAAATTTATTGTTCAAATTAGCATTTCTTCATAAAATCAATTATTAACTCTCCATAAGCAGATAATATCTCCTTACCTATTTCTATGACTAGAAGATAAATACTAAATTTATTAAGAAAAGCAATTTACAAAGTGTTGATCAGAAGAGATTGATCCCTATCTTTTAAATATACATTATAAAATTGTGTCTATACTGATAACTCCAGAAGCAGAGGTCAGCAAACACTTTCTGAAAACAGCCAGAAAGCAGTTACTTTGCAAGCCATATGGTCTGTCTCAACTACTTAATTCTGTCTTAGTAGAACGAAAGCAGCCATATACAATATGCAAATGAAATGAGCTAGGCTGTGCTCCAACAAAACTTTCTTCACAAAAATAGGCAGCAGGCCATTGGCCCTGGTGTTGACCCATGTCTTACGGCACTATCTAGCAAAATATAATGAGAGCCACGTATTAAATTTTAAATTTCCTAGTAGGCACAGTAAAAAAAAGAAACATAAAAATAGGTGAATTTAAATGTTTTTATTTAATCCACTATATCCAAAATATTATTTCAACATGCAAATTAATGTAAACCATTATTAGTGAAATAGTTTACATGCTTTTTTGAACTAAATTCTGGAAATCCTGTGTGTATTTTACATTTATGGCAAACCTCGATATATACACTAAATTTTCACTGAAAGTACTTGATCCATATTTAGATTTCATAAAACCTATAGTAAAAAAAGCAGATTTGCATACCCAAGTTATTCCAAATGTACTAAAGAAAACTTTAATAACTAAATCAAGTATCATTTTTAAACTTACTAAAAATCAAATAAGTTTAAAAATTCATTTTCTCAGATGCACTAGTCACATTGCAAGTACTCAATAGGCATATGTGGCTAATGGCTACAAAACATGACAGTACAGTTCTAGCACACAATGAGAATCTGAAATCTAAAAAAGGAAAAAACTTTCTCTTCAAAATACTGTACTTGATGCAGAAAAAAATGTGGATTCACAGGTAATGAAAACCCCAGACCTTGTCTGTTCTTTAGTTGAGGTTACTAAATTCGTTTCAATAAATGCTTTCTTAAGATACACACATACACACACACACACACACACACACACAGAAGCTACTACATATTCAAAGGTTAAAAAAAAGCTAATTTTCGACCATTAGTCAAATGGACACAGGCAAATCCTTTTTAACCTAAAAATAATTTAAAATTGCTTTTGTTTTTTCTCTTCTGAAAAATATCACAGAATCATAAAATGTTAGAATTTTCTCAAATACTGTCTGTACTTCTATTAATATGACACGATTTTTCTTTAGTTTGTTAAAATCAGGAGTTACAAAAACAGCTTTTCAAATATTGACAAAGCCTAGCTGTCCCAAGATAAGTTCAAATAGGCTGTGATATATTGTCATTTTATATATTAACAGCTTCTCTTCGCTGATATTTTGTGGAATATCCTTGCATCTATGTTCATCAGGAATGTTGGACTTTAGTTTCCTTCTCTATGATGTGTTTGTCTAGTTTCAGTGTGAGGGTATAGCTGGCCTCATAGGGTAAGTGGGAAAATGTTCCCTCTTCTTTTTTCTGGAACCAGTTATGTGGAAGTGGTACTATGTCTTTCTTAAATGTTTGGTAGATTTGTCTGTAAAGTCATCTGGCCCTTAAGCTTTTTTGTTGGAAGGTATTTAACCACTTAATTCAATTGCTTTAATAGATACAAAATTATTAAGACTGCCGATTTCTTTTTTATTTTAATAGCCTGTTATCTTTTAAAGAATCGGTCTCTTTCCTAAGATGCAGAATTTATAAACAGTTGTCATATCCTTTTAATGTCCTTAAAGACTGTAGTGATTTCTTCTGTTTCATTTCTGGTTTTAGTAATTTGGATATTAGATATTCTTTTTTTTTTGGTCAGTTTGGCTAGACTTTGATCAATTTTATTTATTTTATTCAAAGAACTAACATTTAATTAATTTTCTCTACTGTTTTTCTGTCTTCAATTTCATTAATTTCTAATCTTTATATTTTTCCTTCTGCTTTTTTGGAGATTTTAATTTGCTCTTCCTTTTCCTGCGGGCATGAGGGCCCTAATGGTGCTGCTAACCAAAAGGTCAGCAGTTTGAATCCACCAGCTATGCCTTGGAAACCCTACGGGGCAGTTCTACTCTGTCCTATGGGGTCGCTATGAGTTGCAATCTAATCGATGGCAACACGTTCTTCCTATTTTAGTTTCTTAAGGTGAAGGCTTAGATTATTGCTTTATGGTCTCTGTTCTTTTCTAATATAAGCAGTCAATCCTATGAATTTTCTTCTAAGAACTGCTTTAGCTGACTGTAACACAGTTTCACTGAGTTCAAAATATTTTCTGATTTTCCTTGGGACTTTCTCTTTCACCTATGTTATTTACAAGATATTGTTTAATTTCCAAACATCTGAGACTTTTCCAGGTATCCTTCTATTATTGACTTCTACTTTAATTCCACTATGGTCAGAAAACATCTCTGTATAATTTCAACTCTTTTAAATTTGTAAAGGTGCATGTTATGGCCAAAAATATGGTACACCTTGCTAAATGTTTCATGTGTACTTGAGAAGAATGTATATTCTATGATGTTTTTATGGCAATTAGGTTTATTTGGTTAATAGTGTTGTTGAGTTCTTCTGCATCTTTGCTGGTTTTCTATCTAGATGTTCTATTTGTTACTAAGAATTATACTCCAAATATAACTGTAGATTTGTGTGAATGCTATATAAATTGGCATATGTTTTATAGCAATGTGATTTCAGGAACTCCTACAGAGTATCTCCTCATTTATCCAGAGGCCACTTAGAATTCTTAACCATCAGCTACATGGCCAAGACTTCAGAGGCAAGCCAAAACAGGCCTCTTAATAGCCCTAAATGATGACTGTCACAGACTCCAAGTACTAAGGTGGAAGAACCTCAACCCTAACAAAGTCTAGGGAGTCTTTGGTAACACTGGGCTCAAAATTTTACATCAATTCAGGAAAAAACCATAAGATTATGAGAAGAGGACAGATAACTTTTGGAGAATTAAGGAGCATTCATTTAGACCTTAGCCTCATTTTATTTTATATAGAGCAAGGGAGGGAGGTTGTTGACTAGATATAAAAAGTTGGATTTTTGCTCTACTTCTCCGCTGGCCTGTCCCATAAAATGTTAAAAAGGTTAACTGTACCCTTTCTAGAGACACCACCTCTATCGTACTCTCTCTGAAGACCACAGAGCAACAAGAATTATGTATCTTTAGACAAGAAACTGGCACCCACCCTCTCTTGTCTCCCAAGCTTAGTTAGTGGACAAAAGAAGGAAAGGTCTTTCAAGAAAGTTAAAAGGGTAATTGATTTGCCTTTCACATAATTAAAAATATGCAATCCAGAAGCAACCATATTAAAATTCAACTTTTTAATAAACAAATTTTATATTTCATGTAGTTATATTAAAGATTTCATGGTGAACTAAAATTATAAGTACAATTCTACAGCGGAGTCCAGTATATATTCAAATCAGCACAGTATATTACTAGAATGACAACTGTAAGAAGTAAAAATAAAATGCATATTATGACATGTAAGTCTAGCTTCTAAAAATTCTAAAGAAGTCAAAGGGATAATTTTTCATCTTCCAAGAAGCATTCATTCAAACCTATGTCAGAGATTATTATTGATAATGGTAATAAAACTAGTATCAAAAACAGCTAACACTGGAATCATGCATACTATGAGCCAAAAAAAAAAAAATTCCAAACTTGTTGCCATCGAGTCAATTCCAACTCATAGCAATCCTGTAGGACAGAGCAGAATTGTCCCATAGGGTTTCCAAAGTTGTAATCTTTACAAAAGCAGACTGTCACATCTTTCTCCCGTTGAGCCGCTGGTGAGTTTGAATCACTGACCTTTTCAGTTATCAGCTGAGCTCTTAACCACTGCACTACCAGGGCTCCTTTACTGTGTGCCAGGCACATATATTAAGCCATTTGATCATCATAACCAACCTGTAAGATGGGTACTATTATTATGTACTTTTTCAAATAAGGAAAGTAGCATACAGAGAAATTACTTGCCGAAGGTCAAGCAGCTAATAAACGAGTCAATGAAACAGCTCCTAAGAGTCCTAATAGCCATAGCAGCATAGGCCCTGTAAGCTGAACCACACAGCATGTGATAAGTGACTGAATAAGGGAGTGGTGTTGGGATAGCTAACTCCTCTGTGGCTTAAAGGTGGAAGACCACACACTTAAAATGACCTTAAGATTTTCTACAGGGAGTCTACAAGGGTCAAATGAGGACTTTTGTTAGTTGCCATCAAGTTGGCTCTGACTCGTGGCAACCTCACGTGTAACACAATAAAACACTGCCCAGTAATGCACCATCCTCACAATTGTTGGTATGTTTGAGCCCATTGTTGCAGCCACCATGTTAAGCCATCTCATGGAGGGTTTCCTTCATTTTCACGGACCCTCTACTTTATCAACTATGATGTCCTTTTCTAGCAATTGGACTTTCCTGATGACATGTCCAAAGTACGTAAGACAAACGAGCATTCTGGTAGTACTTCCTCCACGACCGATATATTAATTCTTCTGACAGTCCATGGTATATTCAATATTCTTTGTCAACACCATAATCCAAATACTTTAATTCTTCTTTGATCTTCCTTTTTCTTTGTCCAGTTTTCACATGCATACAAGGCAACTGACAAGACCATCACTTGCATCAGGTAGCACCTTAGTCATCAAAGTAACATCTTTACTTCTTAACACTTTAAAGATGTCCTTCATAGCAGATTTTCCCAATTCAATACGTCATATGATTTCCTGATTGTTGCTTCCATAGGCATTGACTGTTGATAGTAAATAGCAAAATAAAAGAGGCCAAGG